TCCCTCTCCTCTTCATCTCGAATGACTTTCATTAACTCCATAAATGCGGGGTGACAGTCTCACTGATCCAGGAGCTCGAGCTTGTGCCAGAGGGTGGTGGTCATGCAGGCCCAAGATAGAAAACATTTCAGGCGAATCATGTCTGTGCTCTGCTCTAAGGGGCTGTGCTCCACGGCTTTCTGCAGCAGGGGCTCTAAGCATAGCAAGTAAGCAGAGACTTTCTCTCCAGTTTTCTGAAAGGTCTGAAGAAACCTAAACTGAGAGCTTCTAAAGTCCTCTTTATTCCCAAAGATCTGCGTCAGGGCGTCCGGACACTGCTCCACAGTGATAGAGTCATTGTGGGCCCAGAGCACCCGCATGATGGACAGGGCAGAGCCGCGTAAGCTCTCCAGCAGACGCCACCTCTTCTCCACCTCAGACACTTGCCACATCTGCATCAAGTCAGTGACCTGCTCCAGCCACACTTCAAAGGTCTCTTGGCGTGGGCCTGGGAAAGCACTTCCCGAAAACACTTTTGGTTTTTGGTACCACGTGCTGTCTTCCAGAGGCTGCAAAACTGCTGGTCAGACTTGGCTCGAGCCCTCTAGCTCCATGTCCTCAGTGGACAAGGTGCTGTAGGCCAGGGTTTTGGCCACGTCTACCACTCTCCGGCTCTCATCTTTCAGGAAGTACTTCAGTCTACTGATAAATTGTTCATCTGGGTTCCGGGGTTTTACCAGCACTTCCCAGGTGCCCCCATTTCCTGGTATCTGACTAGGGATTGTAACAAAATTGACAGTGTCAGCCAACTCGATGACGACAGCCCTGGCATTGTCTTCCCTTAGGAACGTTCTGCCCAGCACCCTGTACGCACACAGGGGCTTGAAGCCTGCCTTCACGGTCCCTTCCATTTCAGCCTCACTACACTCCACGGGGATGCCCACGATCAGCAGGGCCTTCCTGGGGTCCAGATCCATGCCCTTGCACCAGTCCTCTAACAGTGTCTCCGCCATGGCTCTCACTGCCTACGGACTGATCTAATACTAGGGCACTAATCAGCTCAGAGCTTTACCTGGACTCAAATAATTCTGAGCCAATGCCAAGGAGGAAGGCAGAAGTGCCCCAGGTTTCCACAGCCTGTAATGCAAAGGGGTGAGAGCATCGCTAACACCCACTCCCCACCTCCACCCAGAGCACCTCCTCTGCCCCCACCTCCCCATGCAGGGATTTAGTCCCTGCTTCCCAGGGCTCCTGCAGTTATTTTGTGGAGAGCAGAGTGTGGAGGGTCTCCCCAGGCAAATCTCCCCCACCTCAGCCCTCCTAGTTGGACTCCATTTTCTGTGGGTTCCTCCTTGAAATCCGTGTGCTGTGCATGCCTGTGGTGAAAAGACCAGTGTCAGGAGGCAGGACCTGATGCCTGGGGACACTCACAAAGCCCTCAAGGAAGGAGAGGGCAGGAAAATGCCCCCCACCCCCTGGGGCTCTGCCGCCCCTCAATACCTGGCACCCTCCTTGCTGGGGCAAAGGCTGGCAGAAGGAGCTGCAGAGCTCTCCTCTTTCTCAGAAAATGCCTGACAGATGAGAGAGATGGCTGGAGGTCTGTGCAGTGCAGTGAGAGGGGCGGGTATGGAGCGCGTGTGACGAGCTGCAGTGCTGCCATAGATGCCGAGAACAGTGTGGACCATGGGTTTCCATTGCAGCAGGGTGTCTGCAGTAAGGCTAAGGCCCTCAAGGCGCAACAGGTGATGTCACCGGCCTCCAACCAACGAAGCATCTTAGCCACAAGGGGGTGAGTGAGGGAAGGGGCGGTGTGGAGTGAGGTGGGAAGCAAGGGGTGAGTGCTGGAAAACAAGAGCTTGTGCTTTCAAATAGTGTGGAAACTGGAATAAGGGGCAGAAAGGGACCCAGAAAGGGTCTCCTCTGCCACACTGCAGGAAACAGACAACTCTTCCTGTAGGTGTGGCCCTGCCCTGCAGTCTGTGAGCCCTGGCAGGCAGCCCCTCCACTCCTGCTCTTTGCCAGGGTTACCCAGGCCCCTCCCAACACAGCCCACCTCCCAGCTGCTCATCCTGCTGAGTAGGTCCCACCAGCAGTTCAGATGCTGCTGCGATTCAGATTCCACCAGCACTCAGCACTCGCTGTGCCCTCTAGTTCTGTCCACTCAGGCAGATCCAGAGGTGATGGGTCCCGCTCCACTGGATCTATCCAAAGCAAGACAGACGTATGTTAGTATGGTTCTGGTCCACATCTCCCTCTCAGGTTGTGTCAATTCTGAGTCTCCAGAGGTGTACACAAGGACCCTGGTGCAGGGATACAAGAAACTACCCAACTGGGGGCTGCTGCTTAGGCAGAAAAGATCCAGAGGTAATGTTGCTGTTCCAACCCCAGCACAAACCCCACCAATTCTTAAAACCCACTCCTCCCCCCCAAATCCACCCTTCCCCCCAAATCCACCCCTTTCCAAGCTCCACCCCTGTTCAAAGCCCTGCCCTCACCCAAGCCCAACCTTTATCCCCAAGCTTCCCACTCTCATTTCCCTGTGCTCCCCACTCCCACCCTATTACCTACAGCCCCCAGTTCCCGCCACTCGTTCACATACAGCCTCCACCTTATCCCCCACCCCATGCCTGGACAGGGAGACATCAG